CAGAATACACTTCAAGGACATATTGAAAGAGAAATAGCTGACCACTTGCTGACTCCCAACTTACTGAACTCATCATTAATTCCACACAAATTCTCTCCCCCCAACAGCCAACTCTCCATATTCAGTGGCCAGATATCCAAATTCAGTTTCTTCATTATAAAGAATGAGCTACTAGACTATGAGTATAAGGTTATTTTTAAAAAACCTAACTCTCATTCTAGATGCCTGTGTTTTCACTGTACCTAAGTGCAGTTCACAATATTGCTAAGACCCAATTCAGAAACTAGCAAAAAGATGTTCTGTTGGCCAGGATTAATAAAAATCAAATATAGCTATTGAATACAGATTGAATGAACCAACAAAAATACTCCACGTACATCTCATAAAACATGATTCTGAGTGTAATAAAGATTGGTGAAGTCATCTTCATTAAATAATTTTGCTTGCATTTTTACATTTATTTATTTCTATTGAAAAGGATGATCAGATTTACAGAGAAGGCAAGACAGAAAGATCTTGCATCTGCTGGTTCACTCCCCAAATGGTCACAACAACTAGAGCTGAGCTCATCTGAAGCCAGAAAGCAGGAGCTGTATCTGGACTCCCATGTGGATGCAGGGTCCCAAGGTTTTTTTGGCCATCCTCCATTGCTTTCCCAGGTCATAAGCAGAAAGCCAAATGGAAAGTGAAGTGGCTAGGACATGAATCAGTGCCCATATGGGATCCTGGTGCTTACAAGGTGAGGATTTAGCCCTTGAGCCATTAAGCCTGGCCTTTAAATGTGTTTGCTTTTGTAAAATTTATTGTTAGAATCCCTAAAAGATGTGAAATAGTTTCATGCTAATGGCAATTTTATTTTAAATTGTAAAGTTAAGTTTAATTGTAGTATATTTTTAATGAGAACCAAAATGTAAAATGCCTTACTTAACACTGTAAAGGCAGTATTATCAATTTTCATCTGTTCATGGTTTCTGCCTGCTTGATATGTCTTTTGTAGATAATCTTATGTAGTTATACATATAACTGGAAGATTTCTGGTCATATAATTTATTCAACAATCATGTGCAGTCAATAAGATATTAAGAATGCTAAGTAGATTGAATAGATTGAAGCTGTGATGCAACTGCATTCTTGTTTACAAAATTTCATATCCACTTTCTAATTATAGGAGTGAACGGTCGCCAGATTAACCAGTATGAATTAAATATGTGTGATGTTACTTTGATCTTATAACGAAAAAGTAACTTTGAATCCTATAATCCAGATAGTCTTCAGTTAATTTAAAACTAGCCTAAATTTTCAAACACCTGTAGTATTTCTGTGCAGACTCCTGTCAGGATGCCCATCTTCCTGGTACTTCTCCTGCCCATCTATCTTCCTGGTACTTCTTTCCAGAGTTCTACAGCACCCTTCCTGAGGCTGCCAACTGTGTTAACCTATCTACCATCATGCTTTGTATCACTGCTCTTTTAAAATGACATCTTATCCTAAGGCATTTGTTGCAGGTTAGTTGAAAGAAACACTTTCGAGCATTGTGACTGTAAGTTATTGGGCCCCTTGCTTGTTATCTTTGTTTCCTCATCTGTAAAATGTAATATTAATAGCCAGCAAGGTGTATCTACAGGAGAAATAACTTCAATAGATTATAAACAGTAACTATCACATTGACAGTATGATTGCTTGTAAATGGAATTAAAATACTAGCTAAGACTAGAACATTTTAGAATATGAGATTTTCATAGGGTAAAAATGTAACTAGATTTTGAATTTGCTGATGTGTGCGATTTGAGATTTGTAAAGTGTGTGTTTACTCACCTCCAGCAAATATGCACAAAAGCTAAGTAAAACAAGACAAACTACATTTTCAGGTTTGCAATATGTATGTACATTTTTATGTTGTAATGACAGTCCCCTGTGGCATTAGAGTAGCAGCTTTTGTTTCTCAGCCATTGGATTTGGATCTATTAGATAAGAAATGTTTGCTCTATTATGTAACAGTCTAAGTTACCTAGTACATGTTTATATTTTTAAGCTTGTCTATTATATAATATTTAGATGTCATAAGTTCTGCTAGATAGCAAAACCATAAACATTGGGAAAGGAACATTTGAATTGGTTCCAATTTTGGTGTTACATTTTACTTTATTGATATCAAATGATGAAGTTTACATGGAAATAATTATTTCCATAAAATTATGATTATTTAAGATTTAAATTGGTTTTGTTTTGATGAATATTTCATCTCTTTCCTATACTCTTGATTTAAATATTTATTTATTTTGTGAAAATAAGCTGAGTGTTTTTAGTTTAAGTTAGTCTAGCCTTTGGGAAGGTAGCAGGTGCTGATTCAGGTGCATGGGCCCCTGTCACCCACTTGTCAGACCTGGACTGAATTTCCAGGTCCTGACTTCACATTGGTCCTGTCCTATCTGTTGTAGGCATTTAGAAGTGGGCCAGCAAATGGAAAATTTGCTCTTCGAATAGCTAATATACATATCAAAAAATATTCAGACTCCTTAGCTATTAAGGGAATAGAACTGAAAACCACACTGAAGTTCCATTTAACTCCAATGAGATTGGTCTATACTAAGAACTCTACTAACAACACCTGCTGGTGTGGATGTGAGTGAAAAGGCTCTCTTCTTCACTGTTGGAGGGAGTGTAGACTGGTTCAATGACTATGAAAGTCAGTATGGAGAGTGCTAAAGAACTGAAAATTGATCTGCCATATGATCCAGTTATTCCACTGCTGGGAATATATCTAAAGGAAATGAAAACTGCATATGAGAAAGTAACTTGTACTCCTATATTTATAGCAGCACAATCTATAATAGCAAAGACATAGAAACAATCCAGATTCCCATCAAAAGAGGAGTGGATAAAGAATCTTCTCTGTGGAATATTACTCAGCCATTAAAAGAATGAAATTATACCATTTGCAACCAATTAGTCCCAACTAGAGACCATTATGATCAGTGAAATAAGCCAATCCTGAAAAGACAAATATATGTTCTCTCTGATAGAAGGCAACCTTGGTGTAAAATAAGAAAAGAATAAATATATATATATATACATATATTAGACCTTCATATTGACTATATGATTGTAATAATATAGTGCAAATCAGTGAAGGGAAGAGACTTGGATGGAGAGAAGAGGAAATCCCAGAGGCTATGAAACTGTATTATAAAATTAAAAAAATAAAAAATGAACAAATACAGAAGAAAATATATTGTTTAATATTGAGTCATCAAATGCAAACCACTTTATAAAAGAATCATCATCACTTCTCAGCCTTTTGGCTAAGATCAAGTGTATTAAGAGAATCATCACAACTCAAAGAATGTTTTGTGTAATCATACATTTTATTATCCACAGTTAAACATTGAGTTTTTATCAGATTCTTTGGTCAGGAATTGAACCTAATCTTTCAGGTTATGTCATAGTAAATAATATTGGAGTATAAGTCACTTTGTATTGTTTATTTCTTAGAATTATTTTAAAGAGGTGCTATGAAAAACATTGTCAGTTTCATTTGTCATCATGATAGAAAATGTGATCTCTAAAAACTTTCTTTAGAAAATTGGTCTTTGTTATCCTTGTCCCTATGTACCTCAAACAAAATTTCTTCATATACTCTGTGTTTATAGTGCTAAAACTTTAGATCAAGAAATCATCTTTTTCCTAAACGTCATAAATTTAAGCATTAAAAGCTGACAGAAATCAGCACAAATTATTTTGATATGTGTTTCATGGCATTATATGCTGTGAGGTATTATATAAATGAAGCCTTAAATGATTTTCACAATAAACCCAATTGCTACTCAAAAAAAGGCTATGCAGTAAGTGCCCAGCTTACCCATTGTGTTTTATGCATAGCCCATTCCACAAACAGAAGTCAGATGTGATCATACATGGAGATTCTATTCCTCCTTTGGTTAAATGTTTACTCTCACTTCCCACTAAACTGGAACAAAAATGAATCTCTTGTAGCCTTCAAGGTTTTACATTTCTCTTTGGCTTCAGTGGCCTATTGTTTGATCTCTTGCTCACTCAACAGCCCCGGATTCACTATCCCAGCCTTCAACTACATCTAGTTAGTGTTCCTCGAGTACACATCATGGCACTTCCACTTTTATTCACTCTTCTTGGAATTTTCCTCTAAAGGTCCCTGTGTATCTCCTTTAGATATTTTATATCTTTATTCAAATGTTTCCACACCAGGAAAGCTTTCTTTCAACTTTCCCTTCTTTCAAGTTATTATCTGTCCTCTCACTCCATTTTAGTTTCTTCATTGTACTTACAGCTATCAGTAAAATATTCCTGACTGCATTCTTATCTTTATTTACTAATACCTTCTTGATATCTTCAGATAGGCTTGACACACTTGGTTTACAACAAATATATACTGAATGAAAATGCCACTATTTTTTAATACTAAACTATTTTTCAATCCTTCACTCTGATACTAACACATCTTTCCTACTTGTGCTTTCATGGTCCTTCTCCAAGCTTTAGGCTACAACAACAACAACAAAATAGTTTTATAGCATCACTTCCCATTCATTTTACCCTTGATACTTAACTCCAGTAGTTCTAACTGGAGTTATATCCTATCTTCAGGAAGTTAAATAAAAATAGCTTTACTTATCTTTTATAATTTGAGTTTTTCAGGTCCTGTTTGAACCTGACACACTTAAAAAGATGTACTTATTTATGGTGATTTTTTGTATCTGGAAACATTATACGATATCCAAGTCAAGTAGACATAACCATTTCCTCAACACCATTTCAATATGGTAAAAACTTCAAATCCTTTCTTGGGTCATTTTTACTCTTTTCTTTTCTCCTTTTTCTTGTTTTTTTTAAATGTAACCACCACCTAAAATTGCATCTTCCCGTCAGGGTATCTAGACTCCTATACAGAGTATGAACAGCACACGATCAGTCTAAGTTTGCACAAGTGATGCCTGAATACCGTGTGTTTGTTTTTCTTTCAGATCTCCCACTAAAGACGTGGATTCTGAAGAGAGGGAAATTGTGGTTTGGGTTTGCCAAGAAGAAAAGGTTGTCTGCGGGTTGACCAAGCGCACCACCTCTGCTGATGTCATTCAGGCGTTGCTTGAAGAACACCAGACAACATTTGGAGAGAAACGATTTCTTCTGGGGAATCCCAGTGATTACTGCATCCTGGAGAAGTGGAGGGGCTCAGAACGGGTTCTTCCCCCACTGACTCGAATCCTGAAACTTTGGAAAGCATGGGGAGACGAGCAGCCCAATATGCAGTTTGTTTTGGTGAAAGCAGATGCTTTTCTTCCCGTTCCCTTGTGGCGGACAGCAGAGGCCAAATTGGTGCAAAACACAGAAAAAGTGTGGGAGCTCAGCCCAGCAAATTACATGAAGACATTGCCGCCAGATAAACAAAAAAGAATAGTCAGGAAAACATTCCGGAAGCTGGCTAAAATTAAGCAGGATATGCTCTCCCACGATCGAGATAACATGGAGACATTAGTTCATCTGATTATTTCCCAGGACCACACCATTCATCAACAAGTCAGGAGAATGAAAGAACTGGATTTGGAAATTGAGAAGTGTGAAGCTAAGTTCCATCTTGACCGGGTAGAAAATGATGGAGAAAATTATGTTCAGGATGCGTATTTAATGCCCAGTTTCAGTGAAGCTGAGCAAAAGCTAGACTTGCAAGATGATGAAAATCAGTTTCTGGAAGACCTGAATGAAAGTGATGGGATGGTACAGTTGGAAGAGAGGCTAAAATATTATAAAATGCTCATTGATAAGCTCTCTACTGAGATAGAGAAAGAGGTAAAAAATGTTTGCCTTGAAATAAATGAAGACACAGAAGGGGCAGTTGCAAGTGAACTGGAAAGCTGTAATTTGGAAAGTGTCAAGTGTGATTTGGAGAAAAGCATGAAAGCTGGTTTGAAAATTCACTCTCATTTGAGCGGCATCCAGAAAGAGATTAAATACAGTGACTCATTGCTTCAGATGAAAGCAAAGGAATATGAACTTTTGGCCAAGGAGCTCAATTCGCTACACACGGGCAACAAGGATGGATGTCAGTTAAAGGAGAGTGGAGTGAAGGAATCTGAGGTTCTTAACAGTGATAGGGAAGTCCCTCCCTTCACTCAAAGAGTACTTAACACTTACACAAATGACACGGACTCTGACACTGGTATCAGCTCTAACCACAGTCAGGACTCTGAAAACACTGCTGCAGATGTGGTGTTGTTGTCAACGTAATTTTAATGGCCTTTTCTGATTTGCCTTAGTGTTGTTTTCACTTTGCATATTTAACAGGAAGCTTTATTTGATATATGACTTTCTGAAAAGTTGTGAGTGATGTTAAAGCATTCAGCACTTAGTAAAAATTAGGGAGAGCTGGTATTTATTTTTTGGTATGAGATTTTTTAGTAAGATCTTAAATATTACAATATTAAGAATGAGCTATCAGGGACATAGCAGAAAGTCTGTAGTTTCATAATGCAAAAATAACTATATGGGAATCTTAGATAATTTATCACGACCTCAATGAGAAATGATTCTTATAAATTAGCAGTTCTCAGTAGTGTGTAGTCAGGATATTGGAACTTAAGATTAAACATACTGAAATATCTTTCAACAATGCTGTTGGGATTTGTAATCTGTAGAAGAACATGGAACAGACTATCGTGTAAGTGTATTAATGCAAATATTGATTATTTTAATAGATAACATACTGTGTCACATCCTCAACCTTTTACCATTTAGGCCTTTTTAACAAACTGCTCTTGACCCATGAATGAATACTGGCAGTCTATAACACAGGGGCAGAGAGTATAGGTGAGGCAAGACCAGGTGCTACACGCAAACAGTGAATTTTCTACAGAAGTCTAAAACTATCCAGAGCCACACGTGAGCTTTTGCTCATGCAGATCTGAGCAGACCAGTGTTCAGAGACCCATGCTTTCTGACTGAGCTTGGGTTGCAGAGGAAATTGGAGTCCCAGTTCTGTTTGCATATGGCCTATCTACAAATATTAAAGGCATGCGATTTTATCCCTTTGTGTGGGTAAAAGAGAGTTCAGTGTGCCATAAATATTAGGAATTTGTTTCTGGATGCACAAAGGAAAGCCTGTAATGAAAACAACAGGTTACGCTTCAGTTCTATTTAGCCCTTCATCTAAAAGATTTTAAGGGATCTAGCAGTATCTCCATCATGCTCCAAGAAATACAAGAACCTGCATAAACTGGTTAGTCTCCATCTTGACCAACTGTCATTATAATGCTGGACTGAATTTGCTTTTGATTAGTTTTTAATTGGGAGTTTGTCTTCTGTCTCCTCTGCCTGCTTGGCTGCCGTTTTGCTCTATTCCTGCCTCCAGTTCTCTCTCCCCCCCTACCCTCTTACTCCCTTTTTCCTTTCCTTACTGCCTGTCAGTCAACACATATATAATCATATGGAAAATATTTTTTTTTTCGTTTAGGTGACTTCTTCTTTCCTGAGCCAGTCCATAAGTAATTAAAATATATGTATATATACATGTATGCATTTACATATGCATATATGTAAACTATGTAAATAGTTTTAACACAAGGATAATGCTGAAGATTCCAAGTGTTTCTAGTTTCCTTTTTTCCACAGCATCTTATAGATTTTTTATTCAACTTTTCTTTTCCATTTTTAAAGTTTGACATGCTTTTAATTTTTAAACATTATTAACTCACTTTTCTTTGCCTTTATCATATTTTTCTCATGTAATATTTCATTCTTCCTTCTCCCAAATTTGTTACCCATCTTTGGGAAAATATACAGAATTCTGTTCTTGGAAAGATATGTAGACCGTTTAGCAACTGTGTTGTCATTTATTGTACTAAGATATTTGTAGGCTCTATTTGAAATCGACTGGAAGAAAAAATAGAAACTTCCATTCTTTAAAATACACAGAGATAAAGAAGATGTGCAATCCAACAGACATACATTCCAGTACACGTGTAAATGGAATTGAATAGTAGTCATTTGTGAAATGAAAGTTTGCCTGCCTAACAGCCCATTAAATTATTAAGGAATGTGGTAAGCTATTGACTAATCCATTGTTCCCAAGAAGGGATTAAATTCAAAAGCTCATCATAAATGATAAGACGTTTGTGAATGTTGTTTTCCTAAAGTGAAAGTAATCTCTTTGGATTACTGTTATCTAAATGCATAAAAATAATGGAAAAAGAAACATTGTTTCTCTCCTTATGTAGCTTAACTATCTCAGTTCAAAAGAGATCCTAATGAAACAGAAACAGACAGAATTTCATTGTGAAGCATTTAATTAGCTTCTGTTTTTATGGAGATGAATACCAGGACACCATTTAAGGCCAATTTTTCTAAGTTTTGTAGTGAATAATGTTTAAACCTTTTGATAGAAAGTAAAGCTATTGGAGTTTTAAATTCATTTTAGAATTTTTATTTGTTCCTTAATTATACAATTGTGATTTTAATCATTATGATAATGGTAAATCTACAATTTAGTTAACATGTTAATAAAATATATCAAAAGAGTGTAATTATTTCTAAACACAGAACGATTGATTATCAAGTTAATGAAAATTTAAGTTGTAACATTAAGACTTCAGACCGTAGTGGCTAAAATCCTCATCTTGCATGTGCCAGGATCCCATATGGGCAAAGGTTCTAATCCCAACAGCTCTGCTTCCCATCCAGCTCCCTGCTTGTGGCCTGGGAAAGCAGTAGAGGACAGCCCAATGCCTTGGGACCCTGCACCCATGTGAGAGACCCTGGAGAGACTCCTAGACCCTGGCTTCAGGTTGGCTCAGCTCTGGCATTTGCGGCCACTCAGACAGAAGATCTTCCTCTCTGTCTCTCCTCTTCTTTGTATATCTGACTTTGCAATAAAATAGATAAATCTTTTTTTAAAAAAATTAGGACTTAATAGAAAGTCCAATGTATTTCTTTGTCTACAGACATTTCAGCGCTTATGATTTTTTTTCAGTATTCTGACAGGTTAACTATGAAATTGTTATGTGCAACTGGAAGAAGCAAATCAAAACTGACAAGGCTATTTGTATCACAAGATGTATCCTTCCACTTGAAATGCCTATTTTCTCTCTCCAGGTGCCACCCTCTGGAATCCCACCCATCATCACAGCTTTGTAGTGTTATGAAGCATTCTCTTGTGTTCAACCAATTGTCATCTTTTATCTCCAAATTTACAAATATTTTAACTATATTTCTCAATTATTTCAACAATTGTTTTCTGGCTTAGGGTATATCATTTTTATGTCATTATTCAATTCTCCTTGAACAATGGAATCTTAATGTATACATTTATCACTTGTAAATCTAACTTCCTCTAATAAATTTGTTGCCCCCTACTCAATTTTTGAACTGCATTCCTAAATTTTCAGGAGTTGTAACTTTCCTATTTGCATTTTTTATGCTCTTGTATTTGTACATAAATACCCAAGTATTCTTTTTAGCAGAATTAAAACATTAACAGTAATTCTCCTCAAATAAATTTTAGAGGAACACAATGTTTTCATGATGCTGAATTTATAAATATGGCATCAATTTTTAATTTTGTCTGTACTTAAAAGTTATTGAGTTGAAGCACCACAAATGTTGCTTTTTAATTCAATTTAATAGTTAGTTGTGTCTATAAGAAATTGTGTGTTTTAGAGTTGAGTTAAAAATAGTAGCCATGCAACTTAAAAATATTCAAAATGAAATATCTATTTTATATTTCTTAGAATAATAAAGGACCCTTCATTAGTGTGTAGAAGGTATTTTAATTCCTTAAAATTTTATTTTTATACTTATTTAAACAACTACTGACAAGACAAAATATATTTCTGTGGCTTAATTTTATAATTTGTCTAAGTACTATTCCTGTTCTACTTAAAACATTTTTCTACTGACTAAGGAATCACTTGGTCTAGACTTCTAAAATATTTCTGTTTCTGTGTTTCTGTTTGTACTACTTGATTGGTTTAATAAACCTGATGTTACAAATAGAAGTATATTTCATTTCTCAGAATTGTAACCAGATTAATAAATCACTGAACACCTCATACGGTAGTCTTTCTGTGTTGATATTATTAATAATAAATTTTATATAGATATGAATGATATGTTAATTTATTTAATAATAAATTTCAAAATCAGTTATTTGTTGACAATACAAGTATGTAACAAAACATACTTGCAGATTTCATACATTTTTGTGCTGATTTGTTATGAAATTTATACCAGATAGTCAGTTTTATAGCAATTACCTTGCTTCCTAGAATGAAATCACTTCAAGTTAAAACCACTCAACAAAGGATAAATCTTTAATTTATTTTGTTTTGTCACCTCAGGGCCTCTTAGAAGTATATCTTAGGAAAGATTTTGATTTTGACTTCTTAAATAGCTGATCACTTAACTCATAAGGAAATTTTACAAGACTTATACACCTTTTATATATAAAAGTCCTGATATGACTTTCTTAATGATTGCATATATTATCCAGGAAAACAGAAGTAAATTCACACTCTATATCATCAACGTGCTTCAATAGTGAGAGAAAACATAGAGCAGTCATTTCTTCAATCTCGGTAAAATTTGTTTCCAAAACTGTTGGGACTGAGCATCATATTTTTAATTTTGCAAGTAATTGGTTTATATCAAAAGTATTGCTTGGATAATTAAAGTGATTTAAATGTGCTTGTCTTATGTGGAATCCATAGACACAATTTAACAGGGGCATTAAGTCTTTCACCATATTTTATACATACAATATTATTCTGCTCTTCATTTTTTTTCAGCTCTTATTGTTGTTTTGAAATAGAGAGAGCTCTCACTCACTGCCTCTCTAAATACCTACAGTAGCTGGGTCTGAGCAAACCTTGGAACAGGTAGTCGGAAACTCATTGGAGGGCTTTGAAGTGAAAGTCAGAGAGGAATGGAGTCTTTAGAGACACAACTGCTGCCCCACCTGGTCGGTCCAAGAGCTGGGGCTGTGAACTGAAGGGAAGAACTCCCGTGTGGGATGTGTGCTTCTGAAGCACTAAGCTAAACATCTGACCTTTTTATTTTTAAACAAAATAGATACACGGTTTCAAATTTGAATTAGCAAACTGAGTAATGTGAAAAGTAAACCTTCCTTCTGTTCCTTAGCTACTTAAATATTCTCCTAAAATATATTCAGTGTTAAATATTACCTGTGAATTGCTCTCAAGGTAATGCGTTTGTGTGTATGTGTGCGGGGCGGGGGGCATTTACTCCCCCTAAAAAAGACTGCTTATTTTAAAACTTTGCTCACGGGGCCTGGCAGCGTGGCCTAGCAGCTAAAGTTCTCGCCTTGAACGC